AATATTCAAATTTACATCACTTTCCAGCCAGCACTTTTTCAGAGCAGAATAGTACAGTCTAAGCAATAAACAATGCTTTTCTGTGGAGAGAGAAAGGAGAGAGAGAGAAGAGGCTTACAGGCTTAGGCTTAAAGAATATAAAACAAACAGTTCAGAACAGAACAAAGGAAGAGGCAGAACAACATAACAAAAAAACAACACAAAGCCAAAATCCTCCAAACGGTGTCAAAAACCTCAAAGCCCTGTATAACCATACAACCTGCCTAAACCTCAAACAAACAGCCTTTCAAAGCTTGTAACTTGCAAGCCTTCCTCTAAGCCCTGTCAAAGACAAGCCAAAAAGCCATCCAAATATCCAAACCAGAAGCAAACAAAAAGCCTTCTTCCAAGCATCCTGCATAGCCTAAGGGCCAAGCATCTAAAAAACAAACAAGTTACAAACATGGCCCAGAAACATGTTACAATCATAAGCCTGTAACGAAGCCTGCATCAAAACACCAAACTTGTAAACAAACCAAGCTAAAAGCCTGAAGCCTAAAACCTTAAGCTTTCAAACCAGCATATCAAGCCTAAAGCCTGTCAAAAACCAGGACAGCAAATATCAAGCTAGAAAAAGCCATTCAAGCATATCAAGCTTGAAGCCTGTCAAAAACTAGGACAGCAAATATAAAACCAGAACGAAGCATTCAATCCCAAAAAACCCTCAGAGCTAGGCTCATCACTGGGTCCAACAAAAACAATACTCAAAATCAACAATAACATTTCAACAAGCATCTCAGAGGCAAACAGAAGAAGAGGAAAAGAAGCAAATAGGCAAGCATTCAAGCAGCCAGAAATCAAACACTGAAGCATTCAAACCAACAAGATATCTCATAGCTATCATCATTAATATCCAGAAGCAAGCAAGCAAAAGAGAGGAAAAAGATGCAGAAGTGAACAATCTAGGGCTTTCAGGAAAAACATCATCATAAAACCACATAGGAGAACAAGATACAAATACCAGGGAAGGCCACAAAGCTAGCACAACATCATACTCCCTCGCCTCCGGCCGCCTAAAGCGCATCCAGTCCATTTCTCCACTCCTCCGTCTCCAAAAGCCAACAAAGGTAGAAAACTCTTCCTTTTCTTTTCACGCCTCACACAGAAAATAATGATAATCAAAAATCAGAACACAAAAGTAAAACATGCAAGAATGGAAATCTGAAACCCTAAAAAATTGAAAGAACTGAAATCTTTACCTTTCTTTTTATCACTTCTTGAACAAACGCGAGGAGGTGATGGACGGTGGCACTGGGTGGCCATAGGCAAAGAGGAATTTTGTTCAGAATCCACGGTTCGAGCGAAGAAGAGACGAAGAGGATAAAGGTGGAAGCGACACCGTTCTAGGCCAAGCTGTAACCCTAATCTGAAACATTGAAACAAACCCTTACAAATGTTGTTAAACCGGTTGGGCCCGTTCCCTCACAACTGCCTAAGCCCAATGCAAACTGGCGTGCACCCCCTGTTTCTCTTCTCATTTTTTGTTTTTATTTTGTCATTTTGGGCCCAGCTTTCCCCCTTAAGCCCATATAACCTTTTTATTCTTAACCAACACCTTTTTTTTTATATAACTTAATTCTTCTTTTTGTTGATAATTAATATACTAATTTCTCATATAAAAAAATGTTGCTAATACTTTTCATTATAATTAAAAAATACATAAATAAATAGATTTTATTAAGATTAAACATTTTTTTCTTCTTTCTTTTATTAAAACCTTTTTTTTTGTTTAAATTTAAACCTTGTATAAAACATTAATTAAATACATAGATAATAGGATAATTAAATTTAAAACAATTTTCTTTTCTTTTTTCATTAAAACTTCTGTTTGTACATATTTAACAAAAACCCAAGAATAAATACTTACTTAATTTTGCATTAAGTTAACATACTTTTCTCACATGTAAATAATCACGTACACTTACACAAATACTTTTGATACATTGCTTTTATTCTTATACATTGCTACATTTTACATTGAGATTGCGATTCGGTTTGGTTGTAAATATTATTTGGACACTACTATCCGATAAGTCTCATCCCCATTTGTAAATATTTGTACCCCCATCCCCGGATACTCATTAGTAATAGCTTAGACTTTAAATTCCCGCAATTTATCGCTTTCTATATACCGTATAGTAATTAGGGTTTGTATGCGAAGATTCAAAATCAACCGCTAGATAACCTAATACAAGACAAATGCATGATAATCAATACACGATTCACACTTGCACCCCTAGGGTAATCCCGCTTGTTGCCTTCCAAAATGGGCCATGCTTGCATGTTGAGTTTCTTTGGCAAAACAAAAACAATTCAAATGATCATAGTCCCTTGATGATGCTTTCGAAGTTGCCTAAACAAAATGATCATAGTCCCTCAAGCAAATTGCCAAAGACACTTGGCACCGTTGCATTCATGGTCAATACGATGACCCGCGCCCGTCCCGTTAACATCCTAACACAAGATTGCCCACTAAATACAATGGTGGAACAATACTGTTAAAAGGGTTAAAACATGAGAAAAATCTTTGAGTAAATTTAGGGGTAGACAACTCTTAGTTACATGATCAAACTTGCAAAACACACTTGCCTACTTTCAAAACACACTCCACAACACACTTTCAAAACAACTTTCAAAAACATTGAAACATCTTTTCGAAAAGACAAACACCTTTGTAAAACATTCGAGTAAAGAATTGTTACAACGGTTGCCTAGACAAGGCATCTTTTTCAAAACATTTTCAAACACACACACACACACACCACCATTTCAAGCAATTGAAAATCAAAGGCAAGTGATCTAAAACAAGTAACTAAGAGCCCATGGATAACCATGGATAGAAAGGGTGCTAATACCTTCCCTTTCTATAATATACCCCCCGAACCCACGAAAACATCTCAAAGGTTTTTCCTGTGCTTTTTAACCTTTCCTTTAGGATAAAATAAAAAGTCGGTGGCGACTCTTGCTAAACCGAACAAGTGCGAATACAAACGCAAAACCTCAAGTCAGTTCTCCCACCGTATCACAGAAAGTATAATAATAAGTATACAAAAATATATCATGCATAGTTATTCTATCCATATCTCACACCTACACGTCATAAGAAATATTTAACAAGCATAAACAACCACACTGTTATACCCCAATTTCCCCCCTAAGATTTCTCATCATCTCACTTTTATCAATACATCAAGGTCACACATTAGGTTTGATTATCTCTTATATTGTTTCGTATCTTTAAGTTCGTCCTTGAGGGATTACCAATAATCCTAATTGTGTATCCTGTATACATGTGTTTTATATTTTACCGACCTCTAACTAAAATCTAAAAATATGTCTTGTTTATTTTGTTTCTTTTAGAAGACAGGGTTTCAGATCAAAGAGTTCAGGTGATGGTTCTCCGATTAGGGTTGTCGTTTTGTTCAGGCCAAAGGCTAGTTCTCAAAGGCCTATTTTTCAAAGTGGTGAACTATAATCTTAGGTCATACCATTCTCAAGCTTCAGTCAGCATGATTAAGGAGAATTTGGTTACTTAATTCTCAAGACTCTTCGAGATAGGTTCATGTGTTTATTTCCATGTCTTCTTCGACGAGTAATCTCAAGTTCTTACAAGTGTGAGCATGATTTGATCAAGATTTATTCATCTTAAGTTCATATATGCTTAAGAGTGCCTCGAGTTGTGGAAAAAGATCAAGTTCACGAGTTGATTCGAAGTTGTCAGACCAAAAGTCAACATTTGCAAGTTTGAGTTTAAATGATCATAACTTCTTCATTGTTAAGTATTTTTGAGTGATTCTTTGAGCATATAAATCTCCTTGACATCATCTCTAATTTCTCTTTTCAAGTCTAGAGCTAATTATGTGTAGGATGCCATCAAAGGTTTGAGTACATTAGAGGTTGTTTTGAAGACTTTGACTTAATTTCAAGTGACTTTCATCCAACTTTCAAGAATTATAACTCGTTCAATTTTCCTCGTTTTAGGGTGGCTCTTTTTGCACAGTGTCACCAATGGAATTATCTAGAAAATTGCTTAAATGAGCAAGAGCAAATTGTGCTTAAAAGGTCATGAATTTGTTTGAAATGTTTTAGGTCATTTTTTGACCTATAATGTTCTTAAACTCTAAATTCCGATTCATGTTACCAATTTTCTAAGGTCATGATTCTTTTCATCAAAGCCTTATTTGTGTGTTGAGATTATTTATCATCAATTAAAGATTTGGTACAAGATTTTTGAATTAATTATAGGCCATTATGTCAAAGTTTTGGTTAGTCCAAGTTCATGGGTTAAAGTTTACTAAAAGCTTCAAATTTAAATTCAAAAGGTGGAGGGAACTTCTTACTTTCATGAGTTTGGAATTTACAAATTAAAGGAAGATTCAAGATTATCTGAAATTCAAGTTTCTATATCAAATTATTCAACTTTGTCAAATTCATTCCAAATTACTCAAGTTGTATTCATGCTTCATGAGAAAATTCATTCAAAGTTTTATTCAAGTATTGAAGTTTCAAAATCTAAAAAAAATCAAGAGAAATTGTTCAAGTTTCAAATGATTTCACAATACTCCATTCATTGTTTGGAATCTTCATTTCACCACTCCAAAACTTAAAAGTTACATCAATTATGCACAAGTCCCTTTTACCTAAACATCAAGAAACTCCATCCATGATTCAAGTTCCATATATCATCTTCAAGACAAGCTAATAGTTTAATTCAAGCTTTCTTCTTTTTTCTAATTCCTAATTTCAACTCAATTCGAAAATTCAAGAATACACCAACATTTGTTTTCTTACAAAAAAAGAAAATTCAAGAAGAAATTGACATGGATTTTGAGTTACTTCATTATATTACAATAAAATTCAAGTTCTATATGGCCTAAAATCCAATTACAACATCAAAGATACAAACGCTCCAAGTTTTCTACACCTAAACTTCTATGAATATAACAAGACTTTGAGTTTCTTCAAGCTTCTACTCCATGCTCAAGCAACTCTTCCATGCCTTCAAACTTTTCTACGGTTGCCTCCTTCCTCAAATCTTCAATCCATACCCTTTGCAACCATGCTCTTGACAAACTATTCATAACATGAAACAAGGAAAAGTAAACAAAATTTTGTTAGCAAGCAATCTTCAAAAAGACATGAACAAGAATTGTTAAGCAAGAAGTTTTCAAGCAAGTTTCTTTTCAATTTCATCATAAGGGTTCGAGCAAGGAACCAGAATTAGGAATTTCATCGGTCATGTTCACAAGCTCAACAATCAAAAGTCTCATTTTTGTTTTGTTTTCAAACAATAAATTCAGAATTACAATAATCAGAGGCCCAACTCCCAATTACTACAAATCACAAAAGATAAAAGTTGGTTCACAGTAGAAGGGATAATTTACTACTAAGTACAACTCATAATTTCATCACAGTCTAAGCAAGTCAGAACTGTAATTCTCCAGCCCAATGAGAAAAACAAGTTTTCACAAACAAATCCATATTTCAGTTTCAGAAAAAGAAAGGTGGTGACGTATCAGGAAAATTTCAAAGCCCAATAGCAAAAACAAAATCACAGTCACTACATTAACAAAAAACATATCTAGAAGTTAACATATCAGTTGCATAAGCCCAATCCAAAAATTAGCACAGGCATGTTATCAAAACTAATTCAAGCCCCTTTGCAAATTCTCAAGGACTGTTAGAAAATTAGACAAACAACACAACAGAAAACCCTAATGGATCATAGTCTATAAGCATTGATGCAAGAATTTAGAGGGAAGAGACTGTTCACAATACACAGTAACAGTAAACAAGGCAAACCCTAAAAAGTTTATCATCGTCTTCCTTTTTTACAAAAAACCCTTTAGAAATTTTTCGAAATCATAAAGAAGAAGAAGATACAAGCCACAACAAGTTTAGAGAAAACGAGAAAGGCCAAAAAATAGAGAGATATTACCGGAGAAATCTCAGAAGATTGAAAAACTCACAGATTTGAAGCCTCAGAGACCATATCTCTTCTCCTTTCCTTTGTTTTATTCCTTTTTCTTTACTTTCTGTCATCATTCATGGATAATCGTTGATATTTGGTTATTTTGAACAATTAGGGTTTCAGTTTCCCCTTTCAAGATCTAGGCGAGATCCTTAAGTTTCTGCAAAATCAAGCAACAAATTAGTACTCAGAAGAGGAAGACAAAGAGAGCGGTGAAAGGAAATTGAAGATCGGAGCTAGATCACATATCGCCATCGTCTCCTCTACTACGAGGTGATTTCCGGCACGTCGGAGGCTTCTTCTCCGACGATCTCGGTATAGGGAGAAGGCGAGAGAGAACGAGAGGGAATGGATTGGAGGAAAAGAGATTTCTTTCATTTTTGTTACAAATGACTTTAATTAACTTTATTTAATTTTGTTTTAATTGTTAATCTGACTTCTAATCTGGTGGTGACAATTGTCACCACCCCATTTAACACTTGTGATTCTATGTAAGCACCCTTTCAGGATCTACCATGGACTATCACTTCATCACTACCGGATTCCAACAGATCCAGATCATGTGCTCCCTGAAGAGCCTCCCCACGGTGGACCCTCAAAAGGTGTAACCATCAGATCCAACGGATCACATGTGCACCTCCCTATCAACCTTAGGATGCACTCTTCCATCTCCACCGTCAGATCCGATCCAACACTCCAAAATTTGCAGCTCATTGTGCACCCTCCAGAGTCTCCCATACAGGATCGGGCGGACCACCTCTATCGGGCCTACGCAGATTGCTTCTAGCATCCCTCCAAATTGCTGATTTCAGGCCCATTTACCTTTTCTCTTTATTCTTTATGTTTTCTTTTGTATTCTTGTGTTTAAATAATTTTATTTATCAAATAAAAAAATAAAATAAAAATATATTTTCTTATCTTAAATAAATAATTGAACTGAAAAATATTATTGTAATATTATTAATCATTTTGGTTAATTAGTTTTATTAAATAAAATGATTTAGTTTAATTAGTTATTTGATTAATTTCGATTGGGTTGAATTGTTTGTTTATTTAGACTTTTAATCGTATTATCGATCTGTTACATCCCCTCACTTGGGTGTTATTTTGGGACAAATTCCTTAACCTCATTGGATCTTGGGTATTGATAGGTTGAAAAACCAAACACACCAAAATGGATGAATGATGTTGATGATATTTGAAACCCTAATTTCATCTGATACATCCCCTCCATTTTGATCTTATCCCCTTATTACTTGTGCTACATAGTGTTGTAGAATGATCTACATATCATTTATCTAACATATGGTACATATATTGCTATTGACCAGCCTCAAAAATAGGCGTGACTTCTACATAAGTCCACTTATGGTTGCTTAGCATAGCTCTAAATTTGTCCTGCTTCGAGAAAAGATAACTTGTGGCCCAAACCTATTTTTGCAAGCCCAAGTATGTTAATTTGAAACCTTTAATCCAATAACCTTGAGGTTCATTTTAGGAGGCTTTGATCTTATCAATCCTCTAATGAACCTTCATAAACTTTGGTCTAAGTGAATCATTTGAAAATCGTTGATCATATGAGGTCGTATTGAGCATTTGAAATGAATGATATACTTGACAAAAAGAAAATGAGACTTGTTATTGAGAAGTTTTGATTTTATCAATCTTCTAATGAGTTTTCAAATGTAAGATTCAAGATGGTCATTCAACTAACCTATAACTTCTAATTCACTAACAATTGACTTTTATTGTATGATTTTACTTTATGCCCTTTATTTTATATCTTTACTTTTATGCACCACTTACCTTAACATTTACGTTTTTATTCTTTCTTCATCTTTGCTCCCTTGTGATTTCATCTTCTTTTTGAAGACACTTAACAACCAACTTAAATATAAAAAAGATTTAAGGCTACTTGGACTATTTGGTTACTATCCTTAGCATAATGAAGTTGTGGAACTCTCGGACTTAGGATTAGAAACCTTGATTACCCTTGGAACCTTTTGATTTTGTTATTATTTTGTCTAGAGTTCTTGGGGTTTACCCTAAGACACTGGGTTAATTTTCTTTGTGTATAGGTTATTCTGATTATGTGATTTGTCTGTGATTGAGAATTCCTCTGTATACAGTTGTCACTCTGCCCAATTTTTGAGAAGACTTAATGCTTCTGAAGCTTAGAATTCTTGAGAGGTTTAGTATTTTGGCTTGCTTGGTTTCAACCCAAAGAATGGGAATTCTACATTGACTCTGTATGTCAAGTGTTGGCTTATTGTTGGTTAGATGGTTCTTTTCCCTAGCTTTTACCTTATGCTTTAGGATAGTCCCTTCATCTCCTCCCATCTTCTTTAATTTCAAAAATCTTCTCCTTCCTTTTCAAAACTATTCTTGTTTTCTAACTTGAACCGCTTTCATAATAAACTTGGACTTACGTCCATGCATTTTCAAAATATTTTCTTAATAAAACTTTAACCAACTTAATCATACTTTGACATTTTTTGTGAGAATACTAACAGTCAATCAACTTCATTCAAACCATTTTTCCACTTTGGCTTTTTTACTTTAAAACTCTTTTCTCAAAAGATTATACTCTTGTCTATTCTTTAGTGATGCGAGCTACTATACTTCTATGATATGTAGTTAAGTGAGATATTTCCACTTGGATGTTGAGAGAGGAATTTTTGATTTTAAAATCCAAGCAATATCCTCCACTTTGAGATGATGCAAATTCTCCTTTCTCATGATCGTGGGTAGTAAGTATGTTTTCCACTCGGATATGACGATGATGTCTCGTCTCTTAAAATTAACCAACACATTTGTGTTTTAAAATTTTTAAAAGTGAACTAAGAGTACCATGATCCCGTATTGCATGTAAGGTGGTACGTAGGCACTAAAGGTTCGCAGCCAAGACAGGTGCAAAATTGTAAAAAAAAATACTTCTTTTCTCATCTCCACCATATATTTTGTATACAACATTTATAGCCAAAATACACAAATTTTCAAAGTGGTTCCTATGGAATACCGTAGATGTTTAGATGTTTAGGGTTCCTATGGAATACCGTAGATGTTTAGGGTTCTATTTTGTATACAACATTTATAGCCAAAATACACAACATTTATAGCCAACATTTATAACTAACCCTCGTACCTAGATTCTCTCCCCCTTCTTTTTTGGGTTATTCTCTCTTTTCCCTTTCCACTAGAAACAATAAAGCGCAGTGGCGATTTTTATTTGATCTGTGTGATTCAAGTCAATCCAATGGCTTAGTCTCAACATTTATACCGCTACAGAAAAATGGCGACTTCACTGGGGAGAAAGAAAGACCAAATGTTGGTCCATCTCTAAGTGGGTTGAGCCTATCTTTATTTATTTGTGGATGTGCTATTATTTTTTGTATATTATATGTTGTATATATGTTTTTCTGGATTCTCCTGGTTTTCAGGGTGCTTGGTGATTTCTCATAAGTCCTCTACCCGGACTTGGACAAACTTAAGATAGGATGGACAATATAGTCATGTTAACTTTGAGGAAGTAATCCGAAAAAAGGATACATGAGATCCCCCAATCAATGGAGGCCTCTTTGACTGTAGTATCATTTACCGAGTAATCGGGAAGACGTGTTGCTTTCAACCTGGGAGCCTGCTGAAGTTGAGGACCGTAGAACCCTTAACCCATCTTGGCTTTTAGGTGTAGTGCGGAAACTATGATGAAGTAATCAGGAAATGGTTGTCACGTGATGTTACACTCGGATGAGTTTTTCTGAGAATATTACTAATTACCGGGTTAATTGGGATGTTGGTAATATCCGAAGGAAGGATGTAGACTCTGGGAACCTTTTAGAACCTTGTTCGGAAAGTGATAAACTATTAGTCCATACCTTGTAGGTAGTACATTTGACTTCATGATCGTGACGTCGAACCTATGAACCCCCCATGTTTATGATCTTGTGTGTGATTGTTGCATCATGCATTCATGCACCCATGAGCATTGTTTTAACTAAATTTTCAAGGAACTTAAGACTTTTGTTTGCAAACATCACAATTTTTGTAATTATGGATTTTAGAAGGAGTACTCAGAAGTACAATGTCAAGAGTCCTGATTTAGAAGAATTGAGAAAGCCTGAATCCTTGGTATCTAGACCTAGGGATTTCAAATTCTCATAGCCGTCTTAAAGATGAATTTCTCCACGCCATTTATTGTAACCCAAAGTTTTCCCTCCTTTTTCTTCAAGACATTCTCTAAGAGTTTTCAACTACTCAAGGCTACCAAGGCTTCACATACCTCAGGACATCTCAAACATCTCATTGATTCTTTGTGTCATCAAAGAATTGAAGATTTGTGAATATTGTGAAGAGAATCACATTTCTCCTATCTATTGGTTTTGTATTAGGATTTTGAATTTTAAGTGTGTGACACATGTTGTAGTCAAGATTCATGAAGCATTATCTTCTTTTCATCATACAAGTCATCTTTTCTCAAGGGTTTCTCCCTCATGTCTTGAGGAACTAAGGTTTTGAGCTTGAGATGACATTGGTCAGAATTAGGTTCTATGTGGGCTTTGAGGATTTCCTCTTCTATCAAGGGATGTTCAGTATATTATTCATTAATATTAGGCTGAGAATTTTGGGTTTTGTGTTCATGTTCATTGAGGCCTCCTTCTTCTGTAAAGCTTCTTCAATATGCCTCTTAATCAAGTGAATTTGTGGTCACTTGTTGGTTTAATTTGTGAGTTCGAATGATGAAGTTATGATGCAAAATCTAGTAAAGATATTTTGGGCTTATTAGAGTATATTCTTTGGGCTTTTTAGAGTGCATTTTTGGGCTTACTAGAGATCGAATTTCAAGAAGGCCATTGGAGGGAATTTTGGTTATTATGTTTTATTACTTAAAAGATGTTCATCTTGACAAGTTTGGAAATAAAGAAATTGAAGACCATTTTCTTTTCTTTCTACCCAAGGCCATTTACATTTTCTACTTGGAATTTTTTTCATTTTTGAGTTTAGAAGTGAGAAGGAATTTTAAAATTATTGTGTTCTTAATTCAAGGTTCATATCATCATCAAAGTTCAAATTGCAAATTTATTCAAGACTTTTACAAGTTTTTAAAATAAGAGTTTGAAAATGTAAGAATTAAAGAGATTCCATCATTCTTTGGTTCAATCAAAAACTCATTCATTTCTACATGTTTTACCAATATGTTGCAAGGAGATTGCATTAAAGAACACATGGTTTCTAAGATTATCTCATCAAAGATTCAAAGCTTAAAGGGACTCAACATTCTTGGATTCAATCAAAAAACTCCAAACAAGTTTACAATTTGGATACAAAATGAAAAGATGAATGTTTTGTTCCTAAGTTTGTTACAATTGCGAGACCAATGT